TATATATATATATATATGTACTACTTCTTCAAAAAATAAAAGTAATGACTGTACTTCCAGCTGCAGGAAAATACAGAAGGATCTAACAAACATCTGTTCTCAAGATTTCCAGGAGATGGCACCATGTTATCATGTTATCTAACAGCTTTAGAGTGCTGTAACTAAGATAGTCCTAAAGCAAAGACAAATATACAGTGAAAAGTTTATTTACTTTTTGGCACATTTTTCCTTTGTGTTGTTTGTTCCTCACTGGATCACTTCATATAGCATATCCAAAACTCAGAAACTGAAGGTCTGAAAAAGGAAAGAGGAGTGCTGCCAGACAGAGTGGAGGGTAAAGAGCACAAATGCCATCTGGGAATGGGTTTACAAAACAGTGATACTGCATAAGCCGTGCCTACACAGTTACAAGGTGAGCTGTGGTTGTCTTGCAATATAAAATGTGACCGTGTTCATCAATAACGTGGTAATCTCAGTCTGTCTTGTTGCTCTTGAGCCGAGCAGTCCACTTTATGAAGACGTCACTTAGTACAAAACAAGAATGCCGGACGATGATGTTGAGTTTTGAAATGAAGATTAATGCATGTGTGCATTTTTATGTTTGTGTGTGTGTGTGTGCGTTTTGTGAGCACGTGTGTTTGTGTGACACAGCCACTGCCGGCAACATCTGATGGTAATACAGTAAGGCTATAGTGGACCAACTCCAGTGATGTAAACCCTAACAATTAACCACACACACACACACTCACGCTCTTGCACTGTCACACGCATTCTCATTGTTTCAATCCCAAACAAACGCACAAAAATGGAAACAAATAAGCGATTGCACACATACACACTGCCATACACACAGTGAAGAAGAACGACCACACAGAGAGATTCAGGGAATCCAGATGCACGCATGCTCTTGGACGATGGGTGGCTTTTATGTTAGCACCTTGTCACCTTGTTTTGTGCAAATCATCCCCTAGTTCATAGTTCAGAGTTCAAAAGTTCAAGAGTTCATAGAAAGAATAAAATCTGCTCACCTTTTTTTCACAGGTGGTTAACTATGCATATATGCCAAACATTCATATATAGATCTATATACTTTTTGTTTTTCAAAAATTTATATGAAATCTATTATATATACATTGCTTGTGATTAAAAAAAGCAAATATTTGTAGTTTGTTTATTTTTTACAAGTGTAAGTATGTTTAGAATGGACAGGAGATTTTTTTTCTGCTCTTTTTCAGTCACTCTAAAATTCAGATGAGTCATGATCCACACGCTACAAAATCTACCCACAGTGTCCGAGGGTAACAAATCAAACGACAAAAGAAGAACTGATAAGAACAATTTAAAAAAAGAAGTGTTCAAATGAGTCTGAGGACGTGACATCTACGTCAAAAACAAAAGAATAATCAGTGAGGTCACAGCGAGGCAGTGAGTGCTATTCCTACAACCCACATACACCGTTAAATTCCCCACCTGCTTTTACAAACTGTGAGAAAAAGAAACTAAACATGCGTGCACTTTTTCGCCAGGTGTAAGTGCCTTGGCATACTGATTGGATTCTGCTGATGTACAGAGGTTTTACTTTTTTACTGGTAATAGACATTTACTGGCTTCCCGTCAGAGAAAAGCTATAAAATGCATTTCGTTGTGTGAATAAAACTCACTGTTTCTCACTGCCAGCAGAAGCTACTCATGAGTACAATTGTAGATTTGTATTGTTAAAGGAAAATTCAGTGTTTTTTTTTAAACAACCTGCGCCTTATTGTTTTGAGTTGTAGCTGTCCCTCTGTTTATGATATTTTACTCACTTAGAAAATGGTAAAGATCGAGGAAAGCAGCAATAATGTCAGGTTGTAAAATACTGAATTTTCTTTAAGACCTTGCAGAGGCTTTCCCATCCCCACAGCCTGAGAAACTACAGACATTCCCTGCAGTGGCGTTTCAGAAGGGCATACACATCAAGCTCATTTAAGCTTGTATGGCAAGTTTTTATTGGTTATACAGGTAAAGGAACACAATTATTAGCTTTTTTTTAAAAATTATTTGAACAGTTAAAGCTTGTTTCTCCAGGTTTCCATGCTTGGAAATTGATACCAGACCTTGTGCAAACTGGTCTAAGTAACACTATCGGGGACAGGGATGGAATCTTTACTAGCTCTCTAACAGACTATGGTGGTGTTTAACTGTTGAAGTGTAAGAAAAATTCAATTTCTAGTAGTAAAACAGCAAGCAACCTCTTCATGCTGGTGCCCCAAACTTCCATCCCTGAGTGATAAACAGGCATAAGATGAAGAGCCCCTTTAAAGCCAGTCAGCTTGCACATAGGTGGCCGGTGCCCTTGATGTGTTATTGTGGATAAACAGGCAGCGGGATCTGTTGCTGAAGCAGTAGGGATGGGTGTCAACTGGGGTCTCAGCCTCACATTACGGGATGCCCTTTAGTATGAAGGAAGACCGTAAGAAAATAAAAACAAACAACAAACTCTTTGTCAAAAACATGAAGCAACTCGTCATGCTACGGTTCAAATAAGGAGTGACCATAAGGAAAGTTGGATACCTATGACAAAAACTTCATTTCCATATTTATATACTTTTTCCTTTCAAATATATATATATATATAGAATACTTATATATATGTACGTATATATATAAGTATGTATATAATTGGTAGAAATGAGTAAACTATTAGTGGAATAGATTTAAAGATTTCTCTCTGCCTTCTATACTAAAAACCAAAAAAACAGGTGCAGATTAATTTATTATATTTCCTCTTTGCAACATTGTCTTTTCTCCTGAAAGCTATATTTAAATACATATATATATATGTATATATTATATAATACCTATATATATTATTCCCTTTGGAAAACCAAAAAAAGAAACTGATTATGAAAAAAAGCCACGAGTGTTGGTTAAACATTCTCCAAATATAATAGATAGCACAGTCTGGGTACCAAGGCAGAGGGGGTTTTCTCCCACGGTTTACTTTGTGGAGCTCCGACTCTGGGCTCTAAAGTCTTCGGTTTAAAAACAGCACGTATACAGAAGACACACCTTTTTCAGGGCTGTGTGTCCGTAGCACTGTGTTCATTGCTGTTGATCTCTGTATAAATATTTTGAAAGGCAACTGAGCTTTCTGTGTGGAACAAAAAATTCTGCCTCCTCCTCCTCCTCCTTTACTCGAACTGCAAGAAGGCTTTCAGCAGCCTAATAGAGGGACCTGGGGGGTTATTTGGGAGGGGAGGTAGAAAGGAGAGGAGGGAGCGAGAAAGTGGGGATGTTACTAAGGAAACAAGTGAACCTTTCACAAATCAAATGTTCTAATTGGAGCTCGTCTGGCTCGTCTTAGCAAAAAATAAATAAATAAAAACGCCAAATATCATTTTGGGCCTGATTTAATTGGCCACAAAAGCAGGGTGGTGGGCAAGAAGAAAAATTAATGTATCGACTCCTCCTCTTCAGTGCATTGCCAAGTGCAGGGTGTTAATGCAGAATGGAAACAGAGTGTGCCTAAGAGCTGCAGGTCAACATTTGTGATGCCGAACATAAAAGCAGCCGGAGTAAAAGAGGAGCGGCCCCTATCGCATCGCTTATTTTCCTTAACCCCCGAATCTTCTGTCTGTCTTCACCGATCTCCATCTGTGGCTGTGTCTCAGGGCAGGGGTCAGCTCTCCAGCAGCTGTTTCAGTGCTCGCTCAATGTTCATGCGGTGTCCGACTCGTGTCACTCCCAGCTCTGCAAAGTCATCCTTGGTTAGAGCAGGGAGGTGAGAACCTTCGATCTCATGTTCCTGAAACCCTGCTCTGTGCTCCCCCAGGTTGATGCTCTCCAACCAGTCTCCAACATCATACTTGTTCCAGAGGTGGAGGGGTTTTTGGTGAAAGGGTCGTAGAGCTAAAAGTGGTGAACCTAACCCAGGTGAATGGGAAGGTGACGGGGACGGAGAGCGAGAGCGGGAACGGGCGCTGGAGCTCCTCATTACAAAGCGGACCTCCTTTGGCTCCTGGGGTAGGCTGAGGCTCGAAGATTTGAGGATAGTTTGTGGCGGTGTGGTTGGTGAGGTTGGTAGGCCGTAGCCTGAGAATCGTCCAAGAGGATCGCCCCGATCAGGTGAGCCTGGACTAGGGGTGCGTCGGGTGATGGGGTAGCGACTGCCAGGGCGGATGGTGTATGTGGTTCCATAACTTCTTTGAGAGATGGTGTGGAGCTCACCTAGGCTGCTGAAAAGTCTGGTGGAAACAGACAGAGGCACAAGGCTTTAAGAATAAGGAAGACTCTGTTAACGAAAGTAAAATAAAGAAGAAAAAACGACACTTTGGGTTATAGAGTGCAGTAAAAAAATATTTTGCCCCATTCCTGATTTCTTAGTCATTGTTTTTCTTGCATATTTCTCACATTTGCATTTTTCAGATCATTTTAATGTTAGACAAAGAAAACCAGAGTTAATAAAAAATGCCATTTTTAAATTATGATTACATTTATTAAGGGAAAAAATTTATCCAAACGTGAAATGTTGCCACCTAAACCTAATAACTAGTTATGCCACTCAATTGCAATCAAGTATGAGCAATGAGTCTTTACACTGTGGAGGAATCCTGATCCTCTCATCTTTGCAGAACTATTTTAATTCAGCCACACTGGAGGGTTTTTGAATATGAACAGCCTGTTTAAGGTCATGCTAAGGCACCTTGGTAGGATTGAAGCTTTGACTAGGCCACTACAAAATTCATTTTTTATTTGTTTTTAGCCATTCAAAGCCTACTTCATATTGCCAGACAGGTTCTATTTAAGTGATTTCTTGATTCAAGGGTGTGGCAGTAATCACGCTTGGATGTCCAGTGAAACTAAACATTTAGTCACAATGAATTTGTGATTTAACAAGGTGGGCAATTGTATTTCCTCATTGGGCCAGGTAGTTTTGGATAGCTTTTTCCCCTTAATCGATAACATCATTATATTAAAACTGCATTTTTGTATTTATTTGAGTTATGTTTATCTAATATTAAAATTTGTTTGATGATCTGACAAATGTAAGTACGAGAAATATGTCAAAAAAAAAAAGAAATCAGAAAGAGGGCAAATACTCTTTCACAGCATGTATATAAACAGCAGTCATTCATTTTAAAGTAGGTTAGTGCAGAAGAGAGGTTAATGGCTGTTAGAAAGATCAAACTAGTCAGACTAAGAACATCTAGCTATGCAAGTGACTACAGGGTAGTTCTCCAAAATAAGAGCCCTAGCCCTAATTTTTACTCACACCCATAAAAACCCCTAGTCCCTGTGACATTAATGAGCGTGTTTTTGCTATGATTAATTCAATTAAAGCTGTTGAGTCCTACTATAAGCATCCTTGAATAGGTTAGTGTGACCAACATTAGATTACAAATACAGTGTTTAAACAGATGTATTGTGTTACACTGAAACTGCTGATATCACTAACCTGAAAGCAGAATTCATTTTCTAATGTGTGACAAATTCTGTAGAAACAAACGCACACACACACACACACACACACACACATCCAAATTTAGATGCAGAAGGCAGATCTAAAAGTAGAATATTAAATTTGATTTTCAGCTCTCTTGCACATTAGTTACATTTTGACTCACTCAAAAAAATGGATACAGTAAATATTCAATGTCATGACCACGAATTACATTGTGTGAAGAAACAGGTGGGAATTGTTGTTAAACACTAATTAGCATTATTTACTTGTTAATCAAAGGAGTAAATGATCTTGGAAGCTTGGCTAACACTTAATTCAGTGCAATACGTTTAGCATTTAGGAACTCTGAGAAAGAAGGATCGTACTCACGTAAACACTGAGGTATAACTATTATTTTTTTATAGTGACCTGATATGGGATAATAGTTTAAATAGTCTAGTCACCTTTTTTAACATATATATATATATATCACTCTTTTTGAAAGTTATTAGAAGCATAAATTTGTGACAGTCTTAGAGACTGAACGTTAGTATAAGAACAAGAACAGTAAGAAAGAGGGATGGATACAATTAAGGAAATTTTAGCTATCATTGTGCAAGCAAGGAAAACTGATAGGAGAAACTAAACTACTGAGTTACTACAGTGGTGTCTTTTTCATGCATGTTAACATGTCTGAAGGTGTAGCACACGTTTTCCATCTCCTGCATGTTTTTGAAACTTTTTTATTGGGTGAGATTTGGAGTGTAATGAAAGACCGGTAGCTAAGCAGCACTCGGGCTGGAAAAATGTTCAGACTACGGGGAGCCGACAGATATGAGATGAGCTCCATGCGCACTTACACAGTCGTCCTGCCCTCCTGGGCGCACAGTCAGTTCTAGACCAATCAGATCAGAGCAGCAGGGCGGAGCATGCAAGGTGAGCAGAGAGAGAGCAATGGGAGAGAATGTTAGCATCACTCAATGAGACGCAGCCTGCCAACCAGACTTATAATCTGCCTCAGCCCGCTCCGCTGTCTTTGCTGTGCGTCATCTACATGTATAGGTGTATGTGACTGTGTGAGTGTATGACTGTTCATCAGTAGATGGGCATGAATGCATTTTTGTGCTTGGGTTGCTCTACGTGTCAGCATGACAAAGACAGCAGAGTGGGTTTCAGCACCTGAAGGTCTGACCAGTGGGCTACATGAGAGAGAAATGAGCACACTGTTCACATATCAAACACTGCACAAAGAAAAACGAACAAATAAAGAAACACAACAGGACAGCACATGTCTCTTGACTTTTAAAGCTGCTTTTGTACTTCGTTTCACATACATTTATATAAGAAAATAATCTTTTTTTAACATGGATTTGTATGTAGAGCACAGTATATAAGCGGTGAATGCACGTGTGTTTTGGTGGAGCATATTCTGTTTTATCATGGTTTAAAATACAAGACAGTCAAGGATCATGGCCATCCTCAACACAAACACTGAAAATCAAAACAAAGTTATGCAACTTTCATTAAAAAAGAAATAAAAAAAAAAACAAAGGAAAGAAAACCAAAAAGCACAACAGAAATGAGAAACACACTTTTGTACGTGACCCAAAGCTCTGATACACAGCACATGAACAAGGTGGAGACAAAATTCAGCAGTGTAGTTTTTGAAGGGGTTTAAATGGGGCACAGAGGGGATGGGGTAAGTGATCGACGAATGTGACAATTAAGAGTGCGGAGATGCTGATGCTCTACGTGAAATGCTACAGCAGGTGAAGAGACACAGAAGCAGAGAGGGAGAGAGAGAGAAATAATGGTGTGCGCAGTCATCTTTTTTACAGCCAAGGGCAATCAACTGTCAGCATGTAGATAGTGGTGATCTCTTCATTTGGATAACATTAGGAAGGTGTGAATCCAGTCTGAACCGGTCTTACTTGATATGTTGTATTTGATATAATTCGAGCTTCATATTTAATTTATGGTCATCCAAAAGTCCAGTGTCTTGTACAAACAGGGATTTAGGACACCAAAGTATTAGGACAGCACATTTCTGTTTCTAATAGCAGTAATGAATTCCTCTGTAAAGACACATTGCTTTAACCCTGAACCATTAAATAATTGCCCGAAAGTCACATTTTTTACAATTATTTTTAACAAAATCAATATTAATTTGCATATTTTAGTTGTGTAGTTTTGTATCATATTTGCTACATGTGTACGGAGGCCCTGAGAGACCAAACGGAATGCAACTTAAGAAAACACCAGCATTAAGAAAAACGCAAAAGCACACACAACGGAAATAGGAAAAACGAAAATGGAAATAGGAAAAAGCAGATTTCCAAAAGCACAAGGGAAGTGTTTCTGGGGAGACAATAACCCGGCGGACCAGTTGTAGGAACCAAAATATGCTGAGAATTGTGCTGGGAGACACTTAAAAGAAGTAGAGGATCTATCGGTTTTGTGAGGAAAAGAAAAGATGAGAGGTAAGTGTGTTAGTCTATTAGCCCAAAAATCCGTCATCAGGATTATATGAATCATGAGATTAAAACACACTTACCTAGCATGTTTTGGTTCCTGCAACTGGTCTGTCGGGCTATTGTCTCCCCAGAAACACTTCCCTTGTGCTTTTGGATCTGTTTTTTCCTATTTCTGTTTTCTTTTTTCCTATTTCCGTTGTCTTTTGTGTGCTTTTGCAGCATTTTTATTTTTTGCTGGTGTTTTCTTAAGTTGCAGTCCGTTTGGCCCCTTAGGGCCACCGTACCTCTGGCCTTTTTTTGAAAACTATTTCTTTAAAATGTATTGCACAATTTATTTTGTTTTTTTGAGGGAAAAAAAACACAGATTGTGTAGAAGTCTCAAAAACTGTATGTATCAAATATGATATACTAGGCATTAAGGGGTTGGAACATCAAACTATACTTGTCTAGAGCAACAGTAAGGATTAAATTCTGTGAATGGACATTAACTTGTAGCTCTATGGTGATTAGTTCTACAAAGACTTTCTCATTGTTCTTTCCCAGTCAGCGCTGTAACTGATTCCACTGACTCGTGGATGGAAACATGAAAATGCGATGCACAAGCTTTGGTGTGTGAAGTTGATCATGTCCTTTCGCTGATGTCACCATGATGAGAAGACTATGAAAAGTATGTTTTGACATCTTGTCAATGTAATATCGTCTGTTCATATCTTTCAGCTCCTCTTAGCAGCAGTGAAGTATGGTGGAAGCAACTTCTTCCATTCCCAATATTCACATAGAGAGAATATGATACAAGAAAAAAAAATCAGAGAAGCTGAAAGAAGGCTGTGAAAGAAAATCCAACTCAACTGCATCTAAAAAAGTGATCACAAACCACAGAGCTCTTTGTAAGGCTGAGACAGATCCACGACTCCATGACAATGCATTTAACATCCCGTCCTGTCAATTGTATTAAATGAGTAGCACTTCAGTGGGCAGCCAATAAAAGATACCATCTGTCCTTCTAACCTCAGATGTTAACTACCAGCCTGTCAAGCCACAAAAATACAACCAGTCTGAAGCCGGTTGCTTTATACTGGAGGAAATCAAAAGAGAAGATCCCACCACTTATGACAACATGACTCTTGAAGACTTTTGACGGGGTCAGACTTTGTCTGGTAATCTCGGCATTAACAGCCTTGTTAATGCTGAGATTGTGAGTGGATGGATTTCAACATGGCACACACCATTATAGTTCAGACAGGTTCAAATACTTGTTAAAATACATCCTTGAACCTTTGAGGTTATCACTGATGATAAAGTCTCTTGTCTTATCAATTATTATCAGCGATGACCGCAAAGAGCAGTGTATATGAGGATGTATTATGCACTATTTGAACAAAGGCTTTGGGAAACACTGGAAGGGGAGCTACTAGCAGGGTCATAGGTTAGAACCCAGAAGTGAGACTGTGCAAGAGATGAGGAGAAGCTTTCAGGAAGTACGTGCCTCCAAGCCCCGTTACCTTGTTTGCACCAACGGATAATCTACTACACACACTCACACACATAAACACACACACACACACCACTAGCTTATCAACTGCTACCGTCTACACTTACCAACACAGAACACTTAACAGGAAGCAAAGGAGTACAGCTGTAACTATGGAAACAAGGAGCCATCAACTGTAGTACTACTGTACTGTATCTCTAAAAACAATCATTTCTTGAAAAACATTGTGGTGTAGTAATACTTCAATTGTCTTTTTTAATGATTCTTGAGGGACTGTACAAGTGTCAGTGAAGGGATCAGCTGATGCAAACAAGGTAACAAATAACAGTACAAAGAATATTAATGAAAAAAAAGATGTATATAAGTACTGTTCTCCTTCAATGGGCTGATAGGCTCGTTATGTAAAATATATTTTAAAAAAAGCTTTGGTTTACCCTAGAGTCTATAACCTTAAGGTTTACTCTCTTCGGTGTCCTCACATCTGCAGAAATATAAAGGATTTCATTGTACTTTCAGGTAAGGTGTGAAAAAAGAAACCCACAGATATCAGACAAAAACACCAGTGTGCTTCAGTTAACCCTGAGACAGCTGCTGCTATGTGAGAAGTCTTCTTCTTACGGATGTTAAAGACCAAAACATGACCTGCTAATGTTATAGGATATATTAACTATGCTGTTCCACTAATATTGTCAGGGAAACTAGCACCAACAATGGTAGTGACCTCTGATATCATTACTATTTACCATCACAACTTAAACAGAAATGTACTAGCTTATAAAAAGAATGCACAATGGAAGATAACAACAGACACTGGTGCAAATAAAGTGATATAATAAAAATGCTGATAAACTAGAGAAAATAATTAACTCAGTGTCAAGAAGTAATTTAAATAAATCAAAAACACACAATGCTTGATTTTTTTTTTACTCTACCACTACATAAAGAAAGGATAAGAATGAAACTTAAAAGGATTTGGTTTTTTTTATTAAAACCCTTTGTTCTCTTACTTTATAAGATCATGTCTTACCTGGCACCTGCCACAGGTGACTTCCTTCCTGGATCAAGTGATGCTCCCAGAGGTTCCTCTCCTAGTGATCTGGTGTCTTTATTTAGCTGCTGTAGTCGTGAACTGAGCTCTCCCATAACAGATGGTTTTGCTCCCTCATCTGCACCCAGCCCCAGTCCCAGCCCACCAAGATTTCCCAAACTCCCAATACCTAGCCCCACTCCTGGGCCACGGGGCTCCACTGGGTCTCCCCATAGCTTGGACCTCCTCTGGAAGAGGTAGCGTGGCTTGGTGGGGGCTAGACCAGTAACTGAGGCTGAACCACCTGGGGGGAGTCCAGCTCCTCCAGCTGCAGCAGCAGCCAGGGCAGCAGCCTGCTGCTGTGATAGCAGCTCGCTGTCCGAGCTCTGCTTCAGCAGAGGGTCCCTGAAAGTGACGGGGCCTTTACTGCCTCCTATCTGGGATTTTAGTCGGGGCTTAGGAGGCACTGGCGGCTTGTCGAGCACAAATGTCTGCCCGTCGGCATAGGAGGTGTGCGTGGTGTGTGTGTCGGCAGGCTCGCCGCTTTCTGAGGACAATGTGGACATGCTGGAAACCGTGGAGACGGTGCTGGTGGTCTCGAGATGGTGGTCTCGCTCTCTCTCGCTGGAGCTGCGCGTGTCAGCTTCCTCCACGCCTGAGTCAGCCGCAGAGCCAGACTCACCCACCGGTGGGGGCTCCAGAGGGTCAGAGGGCTTCCCTGAGACAGCTGCTGCACTGGGTGGAGGCAGGGGTTGAGCAGGCTGAGTGGGGGTCACAGCTGGCGTTGCTAGGGTTGAGGGCGTTTGTGGCGTTGGTGTTGCAGGGGTGGCGGGAGACACAGCAGGCTTAGCTGGAGACACTGGCGCCCCTTGTGCCTGTGCCAGTAGCCCATTAGCAAACTCATCTGGTGGCGGAACAACTCCAATCTTACGTAGCTCCTCTCGTGTTTCCTCATCGCTGGAGGATAACATGGCAGGGGGAAGGGTTACTGTGTACGGATCCACATCCTCCTCTGAGCTTCCCTGAGCCAGACCCTTCTCTTGGACTGGACTGGCAGAACTCTGAGCTTGGAGCTGGGTCTGGGGCTGGGCGACACTGGGACTGGGGGATTTAGCGCGTGGACTTGGTGATTTGCTGGGCTCCATGGAGGCTGGGGCAGGTGTCTGCTCTTGTTCTGAATCCACTCCAACAGCCTGCCCATTACTGGTGGCATGGACCATGATTAGCCCTGCTGTCTTCTGCTGTGATGTATCCATAATACTGATCAACATACTCTTTTTATCCTCTAACCTCTTCTCTTCCTTCCTTTCCTCTATCCTGGCCTCCATCTCCTGCCGGAATGATACAGGTGACGAAGATGCAGCCCACTGTGGCTTAGTGGGCTGCGGGGATAAAATTGATGCTGCGGAGGATCCAACCCCGAAACCCGCTACCTTGGCGCTTTTAGGTGAAAAAGGGGGAGATGTAGCTGCCCCTTCCCCATGTGGAGACTCTTTGGTCTGAGTGTCAATGAATATTACACCCTGGCCTAATTGCTCTTGTTTAGTCCGAGGCTCTGGGCTGCTAGTAGGGGACTGGCTCTGGGAGGTCAGTGCCCTCTCCCTTGCGGCCAGCGCAAGAGCCAGTGGTGAATTGGGGTCCAGAGGCTTTCCTGTAAGTGGATGGATAAAGGTGGTCCCACTAGGTGAGGGGCTCAGAGCCAAGGCAGGGGGAGGCAGCTGTCCCAGCTCTCGTGTCAGCATCCGTTCATCGATGGAGTGAGACTGAGTCAGAGAGGGGGAATCAGAGCTGGTGGTAGATGCCCCCTCCATGGTCCCAACAGAAAGGAAGACAGTGGATTTCCTCCGTTCTTCTAGGCGACGCTCACGATCCTTTACAGCTCCAGCAATTGCAGCGGCAAAGGGGCCCTTGCCCTGAAACATCATCTCTCCTTGAACACGCATACGCTCTCGCTCAGCCATCAGCTGCTGCTGGTAGTAGTCTGCACGGCTGGTGTGTGTGTGCCCGTAGGTAAGTGGGTGTCGTCCTGAGGGTGAGCTCTCTCGCGAGTGGGCAGCAGCTAAGGCCAAACTAGCTTTTTCTTGTGCATCTTCCACCTGCAGTGTAGAGACCAAAAAAATCAGGTTCCTTCTTTTTTTTTTACATTCAAATGAAAGCAACAAAATCAGATAGCATCGATAACATTCCACCTACCTGTAGCTGTTTCACCAGAGGACTCTTCTTTCTTTGGGGCTTGGTAGGTGTGTACAGTCCAATGCTAAACTGACCCACGTTTGCGTAAGGGTTGTCAATAACCCGACCTTTCCTTTTGATTCGCTCAGGTGGAGTAGCAGCAGAAGGACGTGGAATTTCTGTAGGTTCAACAGGTAAATGAGAAGAATCCTGCAGAATGATCATGGAGCGTGCTTTCTTCTGTCTCTCAATGTGTGTGGCCTGCCGCTGAGCGGCCTCGTAAGGCAGGTCCAAGGAGGACGGCTTGAAGCTCGAACGTCCTGCAGGCTCATGGCCCTGACTCTGTGTTCTCGATGGAGGTGGAGGGGGGCAGAAAGCTGGGGGAGGACCAGTGTCTAGATAGTAAGGAGGAGGAGGAGGTGCCGTTTGTGGAGGGGGAGGGATAGGGTGGGGTTGTGAGTGGTCTCGGAGGCTGTCTGTCATAGAGGAACTGCGGGGAAATCGGTGCTCGCCTACAAGAGCAGACAGCCGATCCTCCTCAGTGGCACCTGATGATGACGGTAAAGAGAGCAAAGAGCACAGATCATCTGGTGATAAACAAGCTCTTGAAAAGGTGCCAAGCTGGTCCACATAAAAAAATGTACTGCATCCATCTGTAAATTTGTTTACTTACATAGATAATATGTATCAGGTGTCAAAAAACACGATTATTAAAGTAGTTTAATAAAACATACAGTTCTATTTTTGACTCACATAGGATTCATTTAATGAGTATACTTACAAAAAGCATAATGTTTAATAATAAAGTTGCGTATTAATAATATATATGTTTAGCTACTTTGAAACAAGCTCTGTGCTACTTGAATAACTGCTTTCTAAATCTGTTCCAGTATCCAGTATTCATATTTACAAATTTTCAACAGTCAATGCCAAGTAATTATATATCCCACACTGTCAACTGACAACATTTGTTAATCAGTCAAGTTTTGACATGGCACATTACGACTTAACAACGAGCTTCAGTCTCAGTATTGCCTAGTCGTTCTCCTGAAACAAATTATGAAAACACAATGAAGCTTCCTCAAATTCTAGTCTCTACTTTAGGTACAATTACACTATCATTCACCTTATTTGAATATGTACAGGATGGGTGATTGCTTTACCAAAAGATTTGGTCCTGGACATGCCCTTTGGTAGTTGTATGTGACCTCTCTCAATCCCTGGATGGAGACCTCCATGTAGAGTCATCCCTTGTCTCTCAAACAGTGACTGCATGAAAAAAAAAGCAAGAAAAGTATCTTAAAATCTTGAAAGCACACCATGACTCCTATAGGTTAATTCAAAGAATATGCATAAATGTGCGCAGCAGTGCATGTCGTGTTGGCCAGGTATTTTTGTATGTGCGCTGAGTTTGTATGCATGCCAGCAGAGCAGCATATGCTGTCTGCCAATGTGCTGTGTGTAGGTGCACTCACACTGATCTCTGCTGGGGTTATTCTCCTGCTGGTGGGCCGTTGTTTGACAGTGGCTGCTCTGTAATCTGCCTCAGAGGGCTGAGAACGCAACATAGACTCCTGTGATGCCAACATCTCATCTAGTCTTTCTGTTAAGAAGAAAATTGGCCAGAACTAAATACTGAGACATAAAAACGCTGTGGCATCTATTCCAAATGTTGATATCGCCATAAAGAATACAAAGGCACCTCTAAGATGTAGCTATATGTGTGGGGTCATGCTCTGTGGTACTGTACAAAATCACTACCCTGTCTCAATAAAATACAGGAAAAAGAAAAAAAAGAACGAAAGAAAGAAGCGATAAGTGACAGAAAAGTGTAGACTGTCCACATGGCTCATGTGTTCTTCTGCTCTGCTCATCTGCTCTAATAAGCGGTTCTTAAATTGACACATCATTGATAAATCATCTTTGTGACGTCCAAAGAGGTGTCAATTTCTTGTCTCAGACTCACCTCCTCTTCTCCTCCGAGCAGAAGCTTGGTGGGAAAAAGATAGCGTCAGCAGAGGAGGGAAAATGACAAGAACAAGCCAACAGAAGTGACTATTCTAAAAGTTAGGAGACACACCAAGTTTTAATGACAAAGCCAAAGCAGAAATATGACAGAAAAGGAGGGGAAAAAAAAGAGTGTCGAGTTTGCATACCACTTATTTGGCACTCACCTAGTTCCTCCAGCTCAGCGGTCATGGACTTAGAGCGCAGTGTCAGGGTGGTGCTGGGAGCTCTCTTGGGTGGTGGCGGCGCTGTGGAGAAAAGGCATGGAGTTGAGGATGAACTTGAGGGGGATGAAAATCCTTTGGCTTTGCGGCTCAGTGCCCTCCTGGCATCCCCGAGACGGCCAGCCCATCCTGTCCTCACTGATTTGATTTGGTCAAATTCGGTTGAACTGGATGCTTCACACTTAGTCAGGACCTTGTTCACGCTACGGTTGGAGCCCAGCTTCTTCATATTTGGCTATCTGCTTGTCAGATGACTTATAAATGTATCAGTCTGTCTTCAAGACTTAGTTTTTTAGTCTCTGTGCTGCAAGAATTCCTCTCTGTTGAGGAGCCCATTGGGTGGAAATGTACAGGTCAGTCCTCCCAGTAAACAAAGAACAATAGAGTTTGTCTGCCACAATAGGCAGAAAAAGTAAGAAATGTGTGGAAAGGAGAGGGAGAAAGTCGTCCATCTTACTTTTAATATGCTGCCTGCCTAGAATTTAGCAGATGTGTATCAGACAGAGGCACACATTAATGAACCAGCTTATACAAACATGCATATCCTCCCCCAGAGAAAATTCCTTGAGGGTGCACATAATGACATGTGGGCTGACAGATGAAGAGATGATAGTAAATTCAACAGCTAAGGAAAACGATGCACCGCAGACTTTATATCCCACAGCTTGTGGGAGCCTCCCAATCCTACTATACACACAGGGCAACCGTCCCAGTCAAAGCAGTAAATCATATCTACCAAATCTTAGCTTCAAAAACAAACTATAGAGTTATGGGACTAAAAATAGGTTAGACTAAGCACTGAAATGAACGTAATGTAAAAAACAACGCAGCAACTGATTTTAAAATCATGTTAAACCTGCAGTAACAACACCAATTGCATGCAGTCTGACAGTGAAACCACATATAGCTGCATTCTCTACATGCTATAACCAAGTTTCCCAACAATACCACACGACAGAACTAGATGAGCTCACGCTATCTGAGATAGACCAGCCAACACTCCACTCAATGCACCACTGTAGCGCGATAGATCTCCAAATCCCACAGTTGCCTCAATGCCTTACTAGAGCATAACTATCATCGCTGCCGCCAGCAGCCGCAGATCTAGTGTACATACGCCATCCTGGGTATTGTCCTTATCAAACATCTTCATTTCCTCACAAGCCTGCACATTCTGGTACAGGAGCAGGGAGCAGAGGAGATGGAGGAGGAAGGCGAAAGAGAGAGGAACAGAGACAGACTCAGAGGGAGAGAGAGTTGCTTTTGCTGTAATGTAATGCTTAATTCAAACATGCAGTGTAGTCACCATGGCAACGGTGGCAGTAGTGAGGCCACGCATGGTGCAGAGAATGTGTGTTCGCTCGCGGGTCCGTGTGTGTCTGCATGTTTCTGTGCGTTTGTGTAAAGGTGCAGCACACCAAGTCCCACTGGAGGATATGAGCAGCAGGAGGGGGTGTTCAATATTGATTAGGGTGCAAAAAAAAGGCATTTAAGAGAAGTTTGAAAAAGGAATGAAGAATTTCATTCCCGCCCATGAAACGGCAGATACACCCCATCTACTCTATAGCTGTTTGCACTGTCTGTCTCATCATTTCAATCTGTCTCCACATTTTTTCTTCAGTTGACAATAAAGGAATCTTACCAGTGATTATCTTTACTGTCTACTTTCTCTTTCACCTACTAAATATCTGGCCTTAGAAGCTTTGACATAAGCAGAGGTAAGAAAGCTTTAACGTTGGCTACAGTAAAGCAGCTTTGGAAAAATTGGTGTGCAAGCCCCTCTGCAACCCACATTAATCCCAAATCCTTGCAGTCATGCGGTCTCACTTAACAATTTCATTAATTAAATATTTATAAAATATTAACAAAGTGCCAAACGCATGATGGGGATGCCAAAAACAAAAACAACCCCAAAACAAAGCAAATAATAACAAGTTACATTAAAAAAAATTAACACCATCTCGGGAAAATCCTTTTCATTTGAGTCTAAGAGTGAAATTAAATGATCAATATTATATTTAGATTTGTGCACCAGCAAATTAGCCTAGCTTAGCATAGTTAGTGCTATCAGCAAAAGCCCGAGTGTAGCCCAAGTATAAAACCTTTTCATACCTGTCTGACTGCACCACTAATTTATTCAGACATTTAAAGCAGAATTAGTAATTATTCAACTCTGGCTCTCTCCTATAGTGTGTTTTTTATCCTCTCTCCCTCTGCTCTGTTCTCTTCCCCCTAAGCTTCCAACACAATCATCCTGGTTCTGCCTGAGTTTTCTTCTTGTTAAAAGGGAGTTTTTTCTTCCCACTGTAGCCCAGTGCTTGTTCACAGCAGGTAGTCTAACTGTTGGGGTTTTCTCTCTAATACTGTTGTGTTTTTATCCTACAATACAAAGTGTTGTTTTGAATGGGCACTATATAAATAAAACTGAATTGAAATTGTAGGTGTAAATGGCACTTCCCCAGTATTTTCTTCAGAGTCAAAGAGGATGCTCACAAAACCTACAAAAAAAGAAAAACTGCTATTTTTACATTTCAGTTTTTGCATGGATTGTGTTTTTGTCATCGGCATGTTAAATAGTGAGATTTTAGAGGCAGACTTTATCTTTGTGTTGAATTGCGTGCAAAGACTGTAGCCTCTCATTAGAGACAAGAATAAGAGAGGTAGTGTCTTTTTTAATCAACTGACACCAGGAAGTACAAAAGATTTCCAAAACCTTCAACTTTTACTTTAATTAAATTACGATTGGTGTAGTCAATCGGCAAAATGGCACCATGATGGGAAGTTGAAAGGTTAAAAAAAAAGCTAATAAGTGGACCTTTCTGGGGTCAAAACATGCTAATTTGACTTCTACATGAATGAATGATACTAAGAGACTGGGTTTATTTAAAAGCGACAAGCATGAGAAATGATATTAAGGCAAGAAAGACAGAAAGAGGAAGAAAGAGAGATTAAGAGACCATTAAGCCCTGAGTAGCAGAATTAAGTTGATACAGTACTGTCCTAGTGAAACTAGGTCAAACTCATTTATCACTGTCTGTATCTCAAAAATCACAAAGGACGTGCACACACCACTCTACCATGCATAAAAGCACACACACAGACGGACACGCTGCAGTGTACACAATTCTGAGGTCATTGTGCCAGGACTGTGTGGGAGCTGAGTAATCTGAGCTGTGGTTGACATGGAAACTACATGAATTTACAGCAGGGAAACGTGGTAGAAATTACCCAGACAATACACACGTATCTCCCTCTGTACACAAAAATCAACATATATGTCTCCATTACCTGATAAAATTAATTTACAAATAACAAACATCGCAACAGGAGCTTCACATACCACATAAAATATCTCGAAGGGCAATCTAATGTAATCAAGCCATGTAGAATATGTTGTAAATTTCTGAATAAGCTTAAAAATCCGTCCATTGTTGCATTAATGGCCTAGATATATCTGAGCCAACGTGTGAATACATTTTGCATATTCAGTGTAGAAAGCTACAACTCCCCCACGCTCTCAACTCTTGATCCCAAAACAATAAGAGCAAAATTTTTTAGTTGTCCACTTTATTCTCCAACTGAAAGGAACAGATGAAAGCGTTTGTCCTTGATACATACCCAAGACTTAACAGAATTGTTTCAAGTGACCAAAACAGTTCCTGAGAATGCGTAAGGTCATGTTTTCTCACACATTCCAGCACAACTGATTAATTTACTAGTAATGTTTATAAAATGCCTACTACTGTGTTATGATTTTGCTGAGTACAAATAAGTATGTACCTTTCTTGCGAACAACTTCCTCAGTCTCTGGTTTGCGAGTGACTGAAACCACCTTCATCAGCAGTCTGTTGCCCCCTTGGCGGATCAAGGATACCACCTGCTTATGACCCACCTTCACAACATTCACCCCATTTACCTGAGAGAAAATGCACCAACAAAGACAGAACAGGAAGCAAGAAACATACAACTTAGTTCCTGTTTTATTTTAATTTTTTGCTTTTATGCTGATAAAAGCATAGTTAAAGCACTATATTCAGTTACAGAGGGAAATTTACACGATTAAACCACACATTTACTTTGCATTTTCATCTGGATCTATGGACATTTACACTTCTTTCAGGAGTGAAATGTATACAAATCAAGATGAATAATGAGGCAATTTTTATCACCTCAATGAGGAAGTCCCCTGTCCTTAGACCGGCCCTCCAGGCCACTCCTTCCACGTCAACAGACTCCAGATACTGAAGGGCAGGGAACGCCGGGGTGGGAGTGAACTCCTCAATGGGCGTCTCAGCTGGGAAGAAATAGTTTTTAAAAAGTTTTAAACCCATGTCGTCAAATAAAGAAGTATTTATAGCTTCCTTTTGCTTCACTGGAAAGTTAGAACAGATCATGTATCACATGCTCCAAATGCTCCTTTATTTTCCTCTCAAGCAATAATCGCAACAATAATTAAAATTTCTCTTAACCAATTTATTTAATGAACACATTAGCACTGAGCTTAGTTCTGCTGCATCTAAACAGTGTTACTGAAGCTTATAGTTCCATACAAACATAATTATTATAGCATGACTAAAAAGCAGACATGCAATACTTAAGAATATTTCGTAAAGTGAGCGGGCTTTCATGTACTCCATTTAATGTTGGAGTGAATCCAGCTAAATCACTGACATATGAGAGCTCTCAGAGGACCACTAAGTGAACTGCAGTGTGTGTGTTTAAGGGTAGTGAGGAGTAAAAGACCGACTGAAAGAGAGAGACGGGCGAGCCAAGACCCACGGTGGTGAGTGATGGAGCAGTAAAGCACACTAAGACTCCCGGCAAGGTGTCTGAAAGGGGTTACCATGGTAACCATGCCGAGCAGGGAGGGAGCTGGCACGTGCGTGAGTAAAACGAATTTGCGGTGATGGAGGTGAGTAGAGAGCCGATTTCGGTTAAAGTGCAGAAGGTATGATAATATTTTGAGAGGATAATGAACAGGAAGGATGTGAAGGAGGTGGAGGAGAGCGAAGAGGAACAAAAACAAGAAGAGACAAAGAGGAGAGAGGAGGAGAGAGAGAGTGTAGAGTGTTTCTCTACTAAAACTCAACGCCATGTGCAGGGAACAGATGGGACAGCTAGATGACAGCTCAGCCAAGGATGACACCACCAAAGGGGCCACATGCATTCGCACAAACACATACCCAGAAACCTGAGTGCAACTGAGTACACAAACTGAGTGTTGACCAAAGCTGGTTGTGTTGTTGACTCACACGGTAACAATACTGACTGAGCCGTAGTCAGTGACTCAGATCAACAAGCTACTTCTCAGACCAAAACACTCGCACACCTTGAAAACCTTGTGAATGGCACTGGCGTGTATCTGTATGTGCATCGCTCACCTTTGGCTCCCCGCAGGACAAAGCCAAACCCCTCATTTTCTTTCTTCTGTAAAACAGCATTCTTCTCCTCTATGATATAGTCACTGTGAAGAGAGGAGCAGGGGGATAGCAGGTATGAATCCAACATCCTCCTCACACGGACACAAAGAGAGAGGGGCGAGAGAAAGGGCAGGGGAGTAAAGCGGGTCGGTCGGTGGGAGTTGAGAAGAGGGAGGAGGTGGAGGTGGAGGCACGCACACACAAACACACACACACACATACGCGCACACAAAACCGCACGCGCACACACGTGTACATGTACTTCCTCTCTCAATCAAGTTAAAAGCCAAGCAAGACACCACAGCTCAGGTTTCCCAGGTGCCGCACTAGCATTTTAAGAAAGAAAGCAAGACACACACACACAAACACACTCACAAGTAGAAAGACAGAACATGAAAAAGTGCGCTAGAGAATGAGCAGGTGAGAGAAAGTCCTCATGATTGAAGTATCTATGGGATAAAACCTAAGAGTGAATCAATCTTCTAGCTGATCCTTCAGATGAGACTGCAGCTGTGGAGTGTGTTGAGGGACTTTGTGAAAGAAACTGACAGAGCTGGCTCAGATGTAATACTGTGGCTTGACTAATGACAGTGGAAACAGTAAGTGAGCAGTTCATAACTGTCTGATTTTTCTGAGAGTTCAGTGGTGAAGGCAGGTAGGCGGTGTTAAGCTGAGGTGCTCATGCATATGTTTTTAAAGCCTGTGAGCAGAAAGTGGAGTTAGTAAAGCAGCAAAGCAAATATCTGCAGTATGGATTGTTGTGTGAGGATTAAGTCAAAATTTCTGATGCCCAAAGATGTGAAATGAAGGAAGGGAGTTAACTAAAAGATATTTTAATCATGCCTTATGATAAACGGTAACATAAAAATTTTAATAGAAAGGAAAATTGAAGAAAGGTGGCCTGAATAATGCAATATTCCTTAACTCAAATCTAATAAATCTAATAAATGTTCCATTCTTTTAACAGCACAGACTGAGGGGGACTGCTCACACTTTACACCCTGAACGCCTTTACAAAATCTATTAGCTTTACAGAATTTTGAAAGTTTCAGCAGTATCATTCATCTTTCCTGACAGAAGATGCAGATATAGAAAGGGCTGTGGTTCAGGTTGCAACTCAGTGGGTGGCTGCAGAGTCATTAGCTTAGTTACACTCCACTTTCTCAGACTTACCCAGAGCTCCTGCTGCTGGAGCCAGGAGAACCATAACAAACCTTTCTGCAGGAAGGAGGTCAAAGGTTTGGTTTCATAAAGAGATATGAAACCACTTATGCACTAATTATTATGCACAGGAAAAGGAGTTGGTTAAGCACCACTAAGATACTTTGCTTCAGTCCAAACCCTTTTATCTGGTATGCTTCCATCTCTGCTCTATGACACAAAATACTGCATTAATGCAATGTGCTCGCTGTCCTTGTTCAGAACATCTACCCGCCTACATAACTCGATAAAGAAAAAATACTCACTTTTCACATATCAACGGTAAATGTTTCCTCAAAATAGACCTGTCCTTTGACATTTGCAATTCTAATATTCTGCAGACAATAGCTCGGATGAAGAAACTCAAGTATAACTCAAGTGTGTGTCCTTCGTGTGCAACTGGTACTTTACTGACTTCAAGGAACTTTAATTTGTACTTCAGAGCCTCTGAACAGAAACAGAACTATGTTTAGTTATAGTTAGCACCCATTCTAAAACAAAATCGTATATGCAGACTATCACAGGTTCACAGCTTTAGTAATGGTAACTCAAAAAGTCTGTGGCTGTGGAAACAGAAGCAACACTTACTTTGACTAAAACCTAGATTGCAAGGAGATGACATTTTATGAAAGGCAAAGGAAGCAGGTCGAAACAGACCAGTGCAGACCAGCTCTGTCTCTCTAACCGATAAACTGTGGCATTAGAGTGAGAATTTGCACAACAACAAAATGCTCAGCTAGTACATGTAATTTGGAAGAGAGGGATCACTCACGCTCTGTACATAATAAATGTCATCTCGAGATATGGACAGGATAACAAAACTTAAAAAAGAATAAAAGATTCGATTATGAAGAAATTCAAGTGAATCAAAATTGATGAATGTGAAGACAGACATAAATGGAGAGTATGTGCTATGCATGCATAGTGAACACCCTTACATACAGACAGTATAAGAGAGTTATGTAATATCATTTGTGTGCATTTTAGAATCAGAACTGTGTGCACTAGCAGGATCATGCCTTTAGATGGCAGCACCTCTACAGCACAAATGAACTTCACTGACCCTGTTAAGACAAGGAAACCGTGTGTGATATGACCAGCAGTACAGTGCAATGAGCAGTACAATATACACTACTAGACAATGCTGTAGGATGCTAGCTCAGAGCTAGAGGTTGTACCTGTATGAGGTGAAGTTGTCGTAAGATCCCACAGTGTAGTGTCTGAACAGTCTCTTAGTGCGGTCCTCCCGTGTCTCTGTAAAATAGATTTAAAGGATTGGTTGAGTGATATACTTTTTGATGCTATAAAAACATATATTGGAGGTAACTGATCTACCTACAAGGTCATATAGACCATTAAACACTTACATCATCAAACTGCCTAAATTATTTCTATGATTTAATAACAGATGTTCAAGTGAAGTGTGTTGTCTTAAAAGCCACATTGCCAGTGTATACAGATCTCCGTAAATAAGCTGAAATTAAAAATATCCCAATAATGCTTTACTTGAATATGTTTTAGGAAGTACACAGTTGATTTTTTTAAATCAGATTTAGTCCAGCTAATGACTTTATACAAATCCACAAGATTCCAAAAATGTCAAGGCTGTGTCTGCCCCAGTTCTTAGCATGTTAGTATAAAAATGTCAGTAATAATCTAATTCGATGAGCACAGAGAGGAATTAAGCTACCACAGAGAAGCAATTATCATTAACATGCTTCATTTATCATAGAGTATAATTGTTCTATGGTAATTTTTTGCTTTTGAAACAGTGAAGTAATTGCCTAATTCTGCCCTCAAAGTGTTTCTTTTAAAGGCAAATGTGTTTGATTAGACGCTCATTGAATACTGTGTGTGTATGCACCGTGTGCATGTGGTTTCTGTCACTATATGTGATGTTATCCTATAGGAGTGCTGATGCCCTTTTTCTATCCCAATAATACACAGCACAATACATCTCCACTAAACAGCCGATTGGCTGACTAAACACTGCACGGCACACACAAGCTCTTAATTGGACGAGGCTGTGAAAGCAAGAGCCGCCGTGGTGTTGATGTGAGACACACAGCATGTTCCTATGACTTTGCTTGGCAAACTTGGTCGCATGCTTGCCTCCTGTCGCTTTACTTTCCAATACAGGCAAACGAGAGAAGATGTTTAAGATAAGCTGTATATGTGAAAAGGAAAAAGAAGACTCGCAAAGAACGAAAATGGAAAGAGGTCAAAGTGAGTGAGCAGTCTTGAACTGGCTGGCATCTCCAGATCCACTTTATCCTGTCAATCTGATTCACTGTGTGAGTGACCGACTGTCAGCTGAGAACAACTTGAAGCTTTGATAAGTGCATCCACTGACACTTGGTGACACGGCAAAAGGGCAAAAAATGAAAAGGGATTTAGCAGCAGTTAACTTTAACCTCTTAGCCACTGTTTTTACTCTCTGACCTTCCTCTTCATTTTTTATATCTGCGTTTTCACAATTATCTTGTTTGCCTGAACATGCCTGTTTTTCATAATCAAGCTGTGCTCTATGAATCTGAATCACTCTGAATCTTGCAGATTTGTTTCAGCATGATTCCAACTGCGTGGCTTTCTTCATCCTTTGTATGTTAGAATGAGTGTTAATCTGAATGTCTTTTTCAGCTCAGGTGAGAAATTTAATTAAATAAATTCTCTGAATTCTCTGACACCAAATAAAAAGCCCAGTCAACTTAAAATGTATAGAGTTCAAAATATCCAACTAAAATACAATTACTGTACAGTGTACATCTATCAATTAAGGTAAAGGGAAAAGAAGGGTGAGTTGGTATTTTCTTTAGGTTAGAAGGTTACTCTACATCCGGTCTGGGGAGGAAAGACATGGCATTTTGTTAGCACAGCCTGTCAAAGGTAAGTCGTAATGAAAAAAGAGGTGATATTTGGGGAGAAAGTCATAGATGAGTCAGGACTTGTCTTCTCCCACACCTTCAGAGGCTTTCTTTTAGGGGTAGACTCAGCTTTCATGCACACATACATGTACCAGTTGAATATGAATAAGAGTTATGGCTAATGACAGACTTTCATGTATCTTAGGTTCTGTATTTAAATATTAAGTGACCACATGATTTGCCTACACACTTATTCACAAGGGCTCAACACAGCAGGTAGCTCTGCATGTTTGATTGGGTAGATTTTTGTGCCAGATGCCCTTCCTGAGACAAATTCCTTAGGAGTTGCACACACACATTGTGTGTGTGTGTGTGTGTGTGTGTGTGTATAAAAAGTAGGTTGCACTTTGGCCAGATTAGGAAACAGGTCCATGGTCATGGCAAAACATTACGGCTGTCATGAATAAAAAGAGGACCAAGAATGGACCCTTGTTGAACACCCACAATAATGACAACATGACCGTAACACAATGATCGACATCAATACAAGCTATGTCTACAGAAAACACAGCATAATATATAATATTAATGACTATCCTGATTGCTCAACGTGTAACAATATTAGACACTACATTTTTGTAATGGTAAACCTTTTTAGACTTGCAGAGTTAATGAATTTTATCTGATGCGTAAGCCAGCAGGGAAGTGATTAACTTGCAATGGATCGAAAATGTAAATTATTTTCATCCAGTGGTCATCGATGTCGTACGCAAAAGCTGTTCCTGCTGGGCACTTGTTTGTTTAGTAATGGTTTAGCTAAGAAGACTGCATTTGTTTGTTTGAATAGTGCTTGAAAGCAACAGATGCAGCATTTGTATTTCTGTTTCTACTAGAGTGTGCGCATCTAAGTTTGTGTGTGTATGTGTGTTTGTGCACCATGTGTACCATGTGATACGGTCCAGAAGTGTGAAATGCAACTTATTCATCACAACTGTCATGTACAGCCCAGGAGCATCTAAAGACAGGGCCCTCATAGCAGAGATAACCTCCAATATACTTCCATCTATCACAGACCCATACACACAAAAGCAGAAAACAAAAGATGAGACACAGGGCTCCACTGTAAACAAAAAGCTATTATCATTTTTATTATGTATTGAATCTATACATATAGATTCATTTTAATATTAAATCTATATGTAGAGACTCAATTGCTCGGTAAGGCAAATATCTTATAAGCCAATCCAACAGCCGCACCTCAGTGCATTTAGGGATGCTGACATGGTCAAGACAACCTGCTCTAACCAATTCTAACCTGCTTTAGTTGTAACAAAACATCATAGAAAGCAAATGTGATTTCAGTTCATTTTAAATGTGGATTGGTTATTGGTGCCAGATGGGCTACTGGGATTTTTTCCACGCAACTATCTCTAGGGTTTACAAAGACTGGTCTGAAAATGAGAAAATACCCGGTGAGCGACAGTTCTCTGGGCGAAAATGGCCAGACTGCTTTGAGCTAATAGGAAGGCAACAGTGACTCAAATAACCACTTGTTACAACCAGTGTTTGCAGAAGAACAGCTCTAAATGCACAAAATATTAAATCTTGAAGCAGATGGGCTGCAGCAACAGGAGACCACACCAGGTGCCACTCCTGTCAGCTGAGAAAAGGAAACCAAGGCTACAATTCACACTGTCTCGTTAAAATGGGAAAATGGACGATTAGAAAAATGTTGCCTGGTCTAATGAGTCTCGATTAGATGGGCAACATTAAGATGTTGGGGTCAGAATTTGGGTTAAACAACATGAAAACGTGGATACATCCTGCCTTATATCATCAGTTCAGGTTGGTGGTAATGGTGGTATAATGGTGTCGGGGTGTTTTCTTTGAGCCCCTTAGTACCGATTGAGAATAATTACACTCCACAGCCTACCTGAGTATTGTTGCTGACCATATCCATCCCTTTATGGTTACAGTATACCCATCTTTTGATGGCTGTGTCACAAAGCTCAAATAATCTCCATCTGGTTTTGTTAATTTAAAATTGAATGCACTACTTTCTCTCTCTGAAGACAAATGTGGTCTAAAACAGAGAGTCCTCTGAATGCTTTTTTAATAACAGAGATATAGAGAGACAAGGACATTTTCAGTAGAACAATGTTGGTTTCAAACCAAATTCTACTTTTTGGAGATATCATTGAAATTCAAGTGAAACATCCAGTTCCAAAATTAAACTGTAACGTCATAGTATTAAAAAAACAAAGAAAAAGAAATAGAGGAAGGTCATTTCACTTTGAGAACATAAAAAAAACTTGACCTCTGAATGCTTTTTAATAAAACAGAAATCAAAAGCGAGGGACATTTTCATTTCAACAATGTTCGACATCTGGTAGCAGAAACACATTTTGCCTGGATTGCCTCTTGAATAAAACAATGTGGGCAAAATTTAAATGGTAAAATTTGGCTAAAGTCAAAGTTCCTTTTGATTTGCCCAGTGGATAGAGATTCATCTGATCTCTGTCACAAACTGAAATGACTTATTGAACTTGCTGCAAAAAGTTTATGGAGAAAAACAAAAACAGAAAGTTTGAGAAGTACTGTAGTACTAGTACTGTTTAGCTTTCAAGCTTTTCACCTTAATAATAATAATAAAAATGATAATGGTAATAATAATAATAATGACAACGATAATAACAATAATAACCACACTGAATGAAATCAAATGTTGTCTCAATGCGTACCTTGGAACCAACGTAAAGTTGAACCATCAACTCTAACAGGACTAATATAGTCTAACGTTCTAGGACAGTAAAATCCAAAGTGCCTACAGCCTGCACTGTTTGATGAAGTCTTCTTCTGACATATGCTCTGTTAAAATATCCTGTTAGTGAAGTCATCTTGGTACAGTAATGCAATAAAGTAAGATTTATTAAACCACTTTCAAAAAAACGTAACTAATCAGGGTAAAAGTTGATAATAGCACTTCTACCCTATAATTTGAGCAGAAATATAGATGTTTTTACTATCAAAAATATATGAAGGGTGGTATTGACTGAAAGTTTTTTTTGTGTGTTATGAGTGATCATCTGTTGAGATGAAAGCATATTTTACACATCAAGCGATAAGTCACGCTTTCTGTAACACTGTTAACATGCTGCATCTTTCCCACTTCTCTATTCTGGACAGACTGCAACACCTTTGCTGTCCTTGTCTGAAGGACGCCAGAGTCCCATCACACATACACGTGGACTCACACACACACACACACGCGCACAAACACAGTGTCCACGCTGAATGGGAATTAACCTATGCTGTTTTTATACTGATAAGAGCTGCACACAAACATTCAAACACATCCACACAAACACACATTATCAACTAAGCCCCATT